GTCGTCCACAAAGGTCGGACTGTGTCGATCCACCAGTCGGGCTGTGTCGTCCACAGTCGGGCTGTGTCGTCCACAGTCGGGCTGTGTGTCTCCACAGTCGGGCTGTTGTCGTCCAAGTCGGGTGTGTCGTCCACAGTCGGGCTGTGTCGTCCCAGTCGGGGCTGTGTCGTCCACAGTCGGCTGTTGTCGTCCACAGTCGGGCTGTGTCGTCCACAGTCGGTGCTGTGTCGTCCACAGTCGGGCTTGTTCGGTCACATCGGGCTGTGTCGTCCACAGTCGGGCTGTGTCGTCCCAGTCGGGCTGTGTCTCACACAGTCGGGGGCTGTTGTCGTCCACCAGTCGGGGCTGTGTCGTTCCACAGGTCGGCGCTGTGGTCGTCCACAGTCGGGGCTGTGTCGTCCCCACAGTCGGGCTGTGTCGTCCACAGTCGGGCTGTGTCGTCCACAGCGGGCTGTGTCGTCCACAGTCGGGCTGTGTCGTCCACAGTCGGGCTGTGTCGTCCACAGTCGGAGCTGAGTCGTCCACGTCGGGCTGTGTCGTCCACGAGTCGGGCTGTGTCGTCCACAGCTCGGGCTGTGTTCGTCCACAGTCGGGCTGTGTCGTCCACCAGCCGGCTTGTCGCCGTCCCTTCGTCCACAGCTTCGGGCTGTGTCGTCCACAGCTCGGCTGTGTCCGTCCACAGCTCGGGTGTGTCGGTCCACAGTCGGCTGTGTTCGTCCACCTCAGGAGCTTGTGTCGATCCAGCACGTCGGGTCTGTGTCGTCCACAGTCGGGCTGTGTCGTCCAGCGATCTGGGGCGTGTCAGTCCAGCACCCGTCGGGCGGTGTCGTCCACGTCGCGGCGTGTCGTCCAGCAGTTCGGGCGTTGTCGTCCAGTCAGTCGGGCCTGTGTCGTCTCACGTCGGGCTTGTGTCGCGTCGGCCGACCAGCGTCGGCGCCACCGTGTTTGTCACGTCGGCATTTCCCAACGTGGCCGGTCAGCTCGTCCGTGTCGTCCAGCGAGGCTAGTCGCCGCTGGTGTTCGTACCAGCGGGCTCGGCGTCCAGTGGGTGTACGTCCAGCGTTCAAGGGCCGGTTGTCGTCCAGCGTCGGGCTTGTCGTTCCAGCGTCGGCACGATGTCCGTCCAGACGTTCGGGCCTGCTGGTCCAGTTCGGTCGGCACGTGTCGTCCAGCGTCGGGCCTGTGGGTCCAGCGCGTGTCAGGTCGGGCCGCTTGATCGTCCAGCGTCGGGCTGTGTGCGTCCAGAGTCGGCGGCTTGTGTGCGTCCAGCAGTCGGGCTGTTGTGCGCGTCCAGGTCAGGGCCTGTTGCGTCCAGCGTCGGTGCATGTCGTTGCTCCGAGTCGGGCTTGCCTCCAGGAGGCTAGTGTGCGTCCAAGCGTTTTTACGGGCTGTTGTCGCGTCCAGAGTGCCGGGCTGTGTCGATCCAGCGTCAGGGCTGTGAGCGTACCAAGGTCGGGCTGTGCGTCCAGTACGTCGGGCTGTGCGTCCCGTCGCAGTCGTCGCTGGTCCGTGTCAGTCCAGCGTCGGGCTCGTGTCGTCCACGATCGGGACTGTAGTCGTCCAGCTGTCAGGCCATGTCCAGTGGTCAGGCCATGTTCCAGTGATTCAGGCTTGTCCAAGTGTCAGGGCCTTGTCCAGTAGTCAGGCCATGTACCAGTGTCAGGCCATGTCCAGTGTCAGGCCATGTCCAGTGTCAGGCATGTCCAGTGTCAGGGCCATGTCCAGTGTCATGCCATGTCCAGTGTCAGGCCGATGTCCCAGTGTCAGCCATGTCCAGTGTCGATACCGTGTCGTGCTGTGAATGAGCTCTGTTGTTTGTGTTGAGCTGTATTGTGGTGGCGTTAGGTCGTGTTGAATTCTGTTCATCTGTTGTCGCGCCGGTGTTTCGCCGTGCCGTGCCGCAACTCACCTTGCACGAGCAAGGTTGATTGGGTGCCTGGCCTCGCCGGCGCGGTTGCGCAGCAGTGCAGATGTAAGGTGCCGGCGTCGGGCGCGCGCCCGCGCCCCCACAGGCGCAGGCCGCGGCCACCGCCTCCAACCGGCCGCGCGGCAGCTCCCCGCCGTACTTGCTCACGCGCGCGCTGGCGCCGGCCGCCCCGCACGCCGCGCACTCCAGGCGTCACGCTGCCTCCTGCGCACACCGCATCGCACCACTCACTCATGCACATCATTGGCAACTACCTCCTCCTCTCGCCTCCAATCTCCGGCCTCTTGTTTCACTCACGCACATACAGGCAGTCACGGCACGGACGTGAGCAGATAGCTTCACCGCTGCCTCCTGCGCACCGCCACCGCACCATCACTCAGTGCACATCATGGCACACTACCTCCTCTTCCCTTCCCTCCATCCGCCTCTCACTCACGCACATACAGGCAGTCGCGCGCACAGGCCAGCAGATTCATCACCGCTTGCCACCTGCGCACCCGCACCGAACCGCACCACTGCACTCACCATGCACATCTTACCTTGGCAACTCCTCCTCATCCTCCCTTTCCGCCTCTGTCTCACACACTTCACATTCAAGGCAGTCCGGGCTCAGGGCGTTTAGAAGATAGCCTCACGCTTCCTCCTTTGCGCGCACCACTTAACTTCACATGCATATCTTATTGCGGAGAGCATATGGAAACTTCCATTTTCCTTCCGGGTCGCCTCTGTTTGCTCTGCCTCACACACACATACATGCAAGTCTGCACTCAGGTGTTGCCAGATAACGTCCTTCTACGCACACAATACCACACTCCGCTTACCGCTCACACACAGAGTTCCTTACCATTGCCATCTCCCTCTTCCATCTTCTCTCCCATTCCCTCACTCTTTCACCAAGTCCTCCAACGAATTAGCGCTTCAACGTTGCCATCTACCCAGTCCTTCACCGTGGTATCCGCTCACCTCTTCACCCTGTCATTAACTCAGCTCTTCTCCGTACCATCCACTCAGACCTTCGCCATTCCATCTATTTTATCCTTCACCGTACCAAACACTCACACCTTCGCCATACGATCCACTCAGCCTTTCACCATAGCATCCACGTAGCCCTTCAGCATACCATTTATTCACTCCTTCACCATACCATCCACTCATTTCATCATGGTATCTATTCAGCTATTTGTAAGTACCTCCATTCATACATTCACCATACCATCCACTCAGCCCTTCACCATACCATTCACTCAGCCCTTCACCATACCATTCACTCAGCCCTTCACCATACCCTCCAGTCAGCCCTTTACCAAACCACCCACTCAACCCTTCACTATACCACCCACTCAGCCCTTCACCATACCACCCACTCAGCCCTTCACCATACCACCCACTCAGCCCTTCACCATACCATCCACTCAGCCCTTCACCATTCTCTATATTCTCTATATTCCTTCACCATGCCATCCTTCACCATTCTCTACATTCAGTCCTTCGCCATGCCATTCCTTAGTCCTTCACCATACGTATGCGTGTACCGATGTCGTACCGATGGAGACGTTGTAGGTGTCGATGGGCGGCGGGTCGAGCAGCGCGGGTGGCAGGTCGGGCCCGTCGCCCGGCAGCACGTCCACGCGCACGGCGTCGGGCGCGCCTACCCGCTGGCCCGTCAGGTAGTTGGAGGCGGCGGCCGTGTAGAGGGCGGCGTCGGCGGCCGTCACGTTCACCAGCAGCAGCGCCCCCGACGCCTCCAGCACGCGCGCGCGCGGGTCCGACTCTGCAAGGGGCGCGCGCGGCCCACGATTACACACACGCAGGCACAAGCAGCGTAAACGCGACAATAGTCGCCTTTGGGGGAGACTGGGCGGAACGAGGATGGGTGGGGATTGATTCATTAGTTTTTACAGGCGTGCCAACTGATAAATGTAGAGCGTGTTTTATCTTGGAAGGTGGTGGTGATCCCCCCCGTTGGATGGCGAGATTCGGCGCTGACCTATATGTAGGGTCGTAGGGTTTCTCTCGACAAGGTATCTCCCACGAGCGGAGCACCTCCCCAGCTGGGACAAGCTCGACGCTCCCAACTAGTCTCCCAACATGTATGGTGGTGTAGTAAGTGGAAATGTAATTAGAGGGGGAGGACAAGGAAGATAATGAAATATAGCACGCGCGGTCCGTGGCCCGTTCGATAGGGTACCGGCATTCACCTGGTGTTGATCGGAAAAAACACGGAAAACTACCCTTTCAGAGCAGCCGGCCGCTACAATTCTCCTCCAGACAGCGGCTGAATTCAACCGAGCTATGAAGATAGGGTCGAAAACTCTGCTACCGTCGGGACTCGAAACCTAAGTCCTCCCGATCGTAAGCGTTTCAGGGACATCAGATGATGCCCTGACCAACTTCAAATGGTAATTAATTGTTGATAAGGCGAGTGGTAGGGACGAGACAGGAGGACTGCGGGCCATGGAAGCCGGGCACCGGAAATGGTCCAAGACAATCGTGAATGCGGAGGTTGGGAGGAAGTGGGGTTAATTGTTGGGATAGTTGGGCTGCACGTTCCACATATCCATTACGAAAAACTAATTAATAAAAAAATTGCCGAAATGGAGGCAATTGTTGGGATAGTTGGGGGCAGGATCCAAAAGCCCATTATGAGATCGTGTCTCTGTATTAATTGCTGTAAAGTGGGGAAGAGCAAGGACATAGCTGGAGAAGCCCGCTGAGAGGTGGGGATGGGCAGGGCGTATGGCGAATTGTCGGGATTGTTAAAAGGAACGTGCCACACGCACACTACGAGAAACTATCTGACTTAATTGCTGCAAAGAGGGGGAAATGGGGCTGGAGCAGCCCGCTATGAGCGAGCGAGGGAGAGAAGGTTAGTGGCGTGTTCGCGCGTCGCAGTCACTCACCCGCGATGCGCCGTCCGTCGCGCGCGAACTCGAGGACCGGCGGCGGCGCGCCGTGCGGCACGCGCCAGCGCAGCGCCACCGTGCTGCCCGCGGGCACCGCCACGCGCCGCGTCGCGGGCGCCCCCGGCGGCAGCCCCGGGAACGGCTGCAGCTCCGCCACCGCCACGCGCCCAGGCAGCGACGCGCGCGCCGACGCGCCGAAGTACGCCACGCACTACGGCACACGCACACACACACGTCACAAGAGGCGAGTAAAATGACGCAATAGACAGTCAAGTTATTGAAATAGTATACACCTGAACAAAATGCGTGTTTTTTTAAACTTATCCAACTATCCTGCAATGTTTTCAAGCAGTATAAATCCAACCAACGATTTTTAGAATTAGAATGCATTCAACCAATCTGCAGTTTTTGAGCTCTGTACCATCATCCCAAACAAATTCAAGTTTATGAACTAGTATCAACCCCACACAACCTGCAGTTTTTGAACTAGTGTCAACTCAAACAACCTACAGCTTTTTGAACTAGCATTCTCGCAACGAAACTGCGGTTTTTGAACTAGTATCAATCCTAAAGAAACTGAAGTTTTTGAACTAGGATCAACTCCAACAGCCTGCAGTTTTTTGCACTAGTATGAATACCACCAAACTGCAGTTTTTGAATAAGCATCAATTCAAACTTCCAGCAGTTTTTGAACTAGTAGGAAACCGAAAGTTTTCGCAGTTTTTGAACTAATATGATCCCGAACATGCAGTTTTTTGAACTAGCGTACACCCAACTAACCATCATTTTTTTAACTAGCATAAACCCACCCAAACTGAAGGTTTTCAACAAGTATATCCCCTCCCAAATTTCAATGTATTGAACTAGTATACACCCAACCTGCAGTTTTTTGATCTAGTACCCACCCACCCAATATGCACTAGCACCACAATATGGGTTCGTAGACTTCCGCGGCTAGAGTCAATGTATTCTTGGCTATCAGGGATGAGCGGCGTCTTGGTTAATTGTACTAACGTTTCGGTCATCTTCCTGTGGCCTTCTTCAGAGCTATACTGCTGAGCAGTATAGCTCTGAAGAAGGCCACAGCTAAATGCCCGAAACGTTACTGCTGAACGGTATAGCTCTGAAGAAGGCCACAGCTAAATGGCCGAATCGTTACTGCTGAGCAGTATAGCTCTGAAGAAGGCCCGGTAAATGGCCAAAACGTTAGTACAATTAACCGAGACGCGGCTCATCCCGGATAACCAAGTCCTTCCCCTTGGAGCGCCGCGCTCACCTGGTAGGCGCCGGCCTGCGCGGGGCGCGCGAGGCGCAGGGGCAGCTCGCTGGAGCGCACGGGGCCCTGGTGCGGGTGCGCGTGCGCGTGCGCGTGCGGGTGCGCGTGCTGGGCCGCGGCGGCGGCGTCGGCGGTGGCGTTGGGCGGCGGCAGCAGGCGGCCGTCCTTGCGCCAGCGCAGGCGCTCCGCCGGGAAGCGCAGCACGCACTTGAGCGCCGCCTCGTCGCCCAGCGGCGCCACCACCGCCTCCGGGTGACGCACGAAGAACCCGTCCGACCACCCTGCCAACAAACACGCACACAATGATACACAGGCTGCCTGCGCGAATGTCACAAACTTCTAGGTCAGGCTTGTCAGGTTAGTCTAAGGCTTGTAGAGGTTTGTACCCTGCGAACGCGCATGCAGAATGATACAGAGACTTCTTGCGTAAATGTCACAAATTTCTAGGTCAGGCTTGTCAGGTTAGTCTAAGGCTCGTATAGGTTTGTACTCTGCGAACGCACTTACAGAATGATACAGAGACTGCTTGCTAGTATGTACCGTGTCCCAAAAATAAATTTCAAAACTTTCTAGGCCCTTTGCAGAGGTTGAGGTTCGTTTGCACGCGTAGAGGTTGTCTCTGAATAAATGTGACAAATTTCTAGTGTATTTAGAGAGGGCAAGATTTGCTTGCACGTATACATATGTCTAAGAAAAAATGAAACAAATTTCTAATGCTTGAAGAGGTTTGTATGCATTATATGTTCAGGTGTTTCAGAATAAATGTGACGATCTTCTAAGGCATTGAGAAGAGCCTAGAGAGATCTTCTAAGGCACAGAGAGGTCGAGGTTTGCTAGCACGTATAAAGAGTGTCTCATAATAAATGTGACAAATTTTTAGGGCATGTAGAGGACGAAATTTGCTTACACGTATACAGGTGTCTAAGAATAAATGTTGCAAATTTTTAAGCACTGTACAGATTTTTATGTCTTATGTGTTTAGGGTGTTGCAAAATACAAGTGACAAACTTCAAATGACATTGTGCCTCCACCTCTGAAACGTGAGATCGAACACCCACCTAGTACAACGAGGCTTTCCTTCTAAGGTATTACTCCAGGAAGTCAACGCCTTTGATGGGACAAATTCTGAGCTCCTACTGATCCCTCGACGTGTATTGTAGTGTAGTGCATGTAAGTTTGTGAGTGAGGGGAGAGGATACAACAAAGAAGAGGAAGAAAAGATAGTACACGGTCCGTCGTCCGTTTATTAAGATACTGATACATTTGCATGATATTGACAGGAGAAATCACGGCAAACTATCCATCAAAGCAATCGTCTTCAACAATTATCTTCCAGGCGGCTGATTTCGACCTATTTTAATAGCTCTGTAGTCCAAAGTGCACTATCGTCAGTATTCGAACAATGGAACTTCCTATTCAGAGGCGATGGATTGGCAACATTTCTTGCCCTGAACAATTTAGATACAATATCAGAAAGGATTTTGATTTTGAGAGCTGCTTCATACGAAGCACTGAATCTTTTTTTTAATTCAAAAACGTAAATGTTTTTGCCTGATATGGTAAAGTGCGTTCATAAGTGTATGAAAGGCGCTTTTTCGAACATGTTGTTGAATTATTGAACTCTTCTGCTATTGAAGATAGAAACTTAGTTCTAAACGATATCTATTTTTCGATATTACTAGAAATATTACTTATTTTTGCATAATCTTGAAACAAAGTGTGTCAATTTTCAAATAAATTTCTATACAAGACCTCACAAACTGTTCTGATTTTTCTAAAGCAGTTTTGCAGATAGGGCACAAATCGCATGACACCTGTACCTGTGTAGAAGTTTGAGAAATTCGTTCTTAGAGATCATTCGTACAACAAATTACTCCTTTCTAGCTTTAGTAGCATTGAATTTCCGTTGGTACGTCAGTCAATCGGTCAGTGTTCTTTTTCGTAAACAATGATTACAGAGCCGCTGTTGAGTGAGCCGATATTGCGTCAAAAATTAGTTCTGCTCCTTCTCCTTTATACACTACATTCAAGCGTGTCAGATGGAAATAAGAAAATGAAGGAAAATCTCATCGCCGGCAGTCAAAGGAATTCACCTGACGCAACGAAAGAAGTTTGAGGAATCCGAGTGGCAACGTGATAAAACGTCGGGACAAAGGAGAGTGGAACGACGCGACGCAACGCAACGCAACCAACCAAGCGTGAGGCTGAATAAAAAGACCGAGGGTACGCAGTGGGCGCGGTACAAAGGAATGACCTGGCTTCCACTCTCCGTAACGCGCCTTCACTGGAGGGGAATCTTTTTGGACCTTTTTAATTTGTTGAAAACCATTTAAATGTAAAAACAATCATTTATATACATTATATACCAGTAGAACCTCGCCAATATTTTAATTTCTTTGAATCCGACCTTTTGAATTTATTGACAATCATGTAAAAAATCATTTAAATACATTATATAACAGTAGAACCTCGCTAATCCGTGCTAGTATTTTAATTTCTTTGAATCAGACCTTTTGAATTTATTGACAATCATGTAAAAAAAATCATTTAAATAACATTATATACAGTAGAAACTCGCAATCTTGTTAAATTTCTTGAATCGCGACCTTTTTTAATTCTTGACAATCATGTAAAACCAATAAAATAAATACTTTAAATATGTCAGTAGAACTTCATGCTAATCCGGCTAATATTTTTTAATTTCTTTTAATACCGACATTTTGAATTTATTGACAATCATGTATAAAAATCATTTAAATACATTATATACCAGTAGAACCTCGCTAATCTTTTAATTTCTTTGAATCCGACCTTTTTAATTTCTTGACAATCATGTACAAACAATAATTGAAATACATTATATGTCAGTAGAACCTCTCAAATCCGAGCAAATCTTTTAATTTCTTTGTATCAGACCATTTTAATTTCTTGACAATCATGTAAAAGCAGTCATTTAAATACATTATATACCAGTAGAACCTCGCTAATCCGAGCTAATCTTTAATTTCTTTGAATCCGCTGACCTTTTTTAATTTCTTGACAATCATGTACAAACAATAATTGAAATACATTATATATCAGTAGAACCTCGCTAATCCCATCTAATCTGAACAACATTCGGGATGTAGGAAAAATAGAAAATAAAATAAAACGGTTTTTTGTAGTACAAAAAAGGGATTTTATAATTACTGAACATCTAATTATTGAAGCACACGTTGTCGAAATGAAAAGTTTATCGCACAGGTATCCACGGTGTATGACATGTTTATGTAATAGTAATTTCAACTGAAAGGAACTTGCAAAATTGGTTATCTTCTTTTACCGCAAGGAACTAAATTTGCGTTTTGATGCGATGTGATGAGGTGATCCCAATGCTAAGTGGCAATTTTCTCACATCGTATGCTACGTTGCATTGTCTGGTAATCCGATAGATGTATTTGTATAAGTACGATCATTTTTTAAGGTAATTCGAACATTTACGAATCCGAACAGACCATCCTCCCAATTAGTTCGGATTACTGGGGTTCTACTATATATATTTCAATAATTTTAGTTTCCTTTTCATTTGGTGTAATGGTTAGCAGGTATGATTTAATGAATAACATACATTTATATAAATTAGCTGAACCCGTGAGAAAATTTGGCATTTTTATGCATAAAAAAGGGATTTGTTGATTAAGGTGACAGAAAAAAAGAAGTTATGTTTTAAGGCTCTAATACGCATTGTATTCGAGTTATGCACGACAGTAGTATGCTGCAGCGTTACAATCAGCTTTATTTATTGTGTCATTAAAGTTACAATGTTTATGGCCCTCCCAGTTCTGCGGGTTCAAAAACAAGATTTTAGGAGGATTGAATAAGCAGAAATGAGCTTTTTGAGAGGAGTGAAGGGCTATACATTAAGAGACCAAATAAAATGTGAGAAAATAAGAGAGGAACTGGGGCAGAAAGGAGCAGTACATGACAAAATTAAGAAGAACAGACAGCAATTGGCAACCCATATTGGAAATGTGCCACAAGACAGACCTCCATTGGCCCTGAATTATAAAATGTGAGGAAAGAAAAACATTAGAAGGCCAAGAAAGAGATGGAAAGAGCCTGGAACATTCAATATACCTAATTCGTAAAGGAAGTTGATGATGAAGTTATAATTGAATTCTTTTTGAATTTTATTTGCTAGTAAAATGTGTCATATGTAGTAAAAAAATTGAATAAAAGGGAAAGAGGTGGTGTTGGCAAATTCAAGTTTTGCTCACCGGAAGCGCTCCCGACGCCGGGGGAGGCGGCGGCACGTGGCAGGGCGAACAGGGCGGCGAGCGCGGCGCAGGTTACGAGCGCGGCCGGTAGGCGCGCTGCCAGCGCTCGCGGCGACGACGGCGACGACGCCATCTCACAGCCTCTGGCATTCCTGCAACACAAGGCGCACTGGGTCAGCCACTGAACGAGCACGGAGGAACGGTTTTCGTTTTTTTCTTGGGGGAGGGGGAGGGCGTTATGGGTTACTGGTTAATAGTGAGCAGAGCGGAACCTAGACTGGTTAGAAAACAAATAAGTACTAAATATATAAATAGAAAATAAATAAATAATAAATAAATGAGCATATTAAGGAATATGGCCTGTTTAGTCACGGGAACAGTTTTCTTCACTCGCATTGTACAACGGCCCGCAAGGGGGCCCCTTGTCCCCCCCCGGGAATCAAGAGAGTTTAACTGATATACTATTATTATTATTATTGTTGTTGTTGTTTTTGTTGTTGTGTATGCCAATGTTTGTGCCTACTCACATACATTCAATGAATTAATAAATTTTTGGGTTCCGGCATCATTTATTTACTACTCACAAATAAAATTCACTAAAAAGCAATCAATATCTGTGACAAAAATCTCTTATGCGCTGAGAAAGGTTTTTACTTTAGGGGAGGTTTGACAAAAGGGGCCAATGAAATCTATAGGCGGCTTAGCTCATTGACGCCAAACCAAATAGGGAAGCATAGACAGCGAGTAAACTGTATAAAATCATTCGCTTTCGTTTGAAAAACGATGGCTAACTTGTGCTGAAGCAGTTACACTCCTGATTAATTGTGTCATTCTGCCAACTGGAGAATGTTCGCTTGAAATCAATGTATTTATGTATCTAGAATGCAAGAAAAGTACACTATGTATCTTTATTTTTAAGAAGTATATTTAAATGCAGATGCCTAATTCCTAGATTAACATTTAGTTACAACGAGTTTAATTAAAAGCGTGATTACGCATTTATTACACTCCGTTATAATTAACTC